CCTTCCCCACACCTTTGGAAATTTAAGCTCCTTTTTACTTTCTACCTCCAGCTTGTTTCCTGCCCCCCTGACTGAACTTTCTTGTTCAGAACATTGAAAGTAATAGCCAGCATACTCCAGAACAAAGTAGGAACAAAATATATTTAAAATCTGCACTGTTATCTTAGCACCCAGGATTCTAAAATGATGCAATTAAATTTGAAAATGATGCGATTCCAACATGACACAGGGAACAAATGCTTTGTATAGGATTATGGCAACGGGGATGGATGCATTGGGAATTATTCAGCATTGCCTAATTTTTATAGTCGTAATGAGTCACTCATGAATATGATCTTGCATAATCATATTATACTTGTTTCAGCCCAATAGACTTTGATTTTGTTCCCAACGCACTGGTTGCTATGATAACGCCATGTAGTTTCCTGTTCACCTAGGTACCTCTCACTGCTGTTTGGATGAAGTATCAGGGATGATAAATATGGGGTGGTATATAAACCCAGGTTAAAGGAAATCGTATCCTACATGGCAATACACCCTAGATAATAAACCTTGTTCTAGAAATTGACACATTGTGCCAATCTGTTGTGTCATTCCTTCTATTTCTTCTCTCTCTCCCTTTCTCTCATTCTGTCTGTCTCTGTACCTATTTTTTCCACACTTTCTCTTTCCCTGTCTCTTGGCACTGGCACTTTCATCTCCTCCCTTGGGGATTTGAGATGTCACTGCAGGAAGTGCTTGTCCGCCTCTCCGGCAGCAGCAGAGCCCTGTGGCTTTGACAAACCTCATTTAATTGGGAGGAAGCCAGGAGGGTTTGAAAGAACTGAAACATCCACGAAACTCCTTTTATCAGACATAATTTAAACTCTGCATGGAAAAAACCCTATATGTATAAAGAAAAGTCAACTTCCCTCCTGCTGTGAGCGCTCCCCTCCCCCCTCCCCCAGCACAGGCAGGCTCCTGTGAGATTCCATCTTTTCATTTTTCTAAAAGTGTCAAAGTAGATTTGTGCTCTGTGGCTGGGTGAACAGAAAAGGAATGCAGATCTTGCACTCACTTGCACACATACAACACCTTGCTAAGGGTGGCAGTTTGGGAGAGATTCTAGCTGGCAGCTCCTCTGCTTGGGGTATGTTAGAAAAGCCATAAATGAAGTTTTCAAATAACTTGACAACTTGCTCCAAGTAGGTTCCCTCTTAATTACTTATATCTAAAGAGAAAAATGAGTGCCCAAGAGACTCTGAGAAATGGCCAGTCTGATAGGCATATTATGCAGGATGGGAAAGAGATTTTCCAGTTTAGGAAGAAGGTTTGTAACTCAGTAGGTTCTCCGTCTGTTGGGTGGCAGGGGCATGTGCCTGATAGATGTTTGTGAATATGTTCATGAGTGAGCAACAGAAGGCAGGAGAAGAAAAGGCAGGTAATTTCAAGGGAGATCTAGGATACAGGGTATAAGGGACAGCTGGTTTCTCAGAACATCAAAAGGGAGCAGAAGGTGCATTTTGGGGAGTGGGGCTAACACATCACATGAAGCAGCTGGGAATTCAGGATATTGGAGCAAACTGTCACCTGAATCAAGCATAAAATATGGTTTTAGGAAGGAGCTTCAGGCATCTATAGGTACAGAATCAGGAAGGGGTGGCCTTATACTGAGGCATTTATAATCACAGCTTTCTAAATAAACCACTAATACTGAGGTCTCTTCCGAGTTCCTTTCTAGCATTGATGCCATGTTGACAGAGGAAAAAAAAGGCTAAAAGTTGCTCAAGCAGCAACTCAGCTACATTGCAGCTTATGGGTTTTTAAAGTTGTTGACCAGCAGTGTAGCAATGTGACTGGGTGCCTGGGGCACAGGTAGCAGTGACTTCCTGTTGCAGCTATGTCACTGGTTCAATCACAATCATGATTGTGATTTTTTTGCACAACCTCCCCCCACCCCCTAACCCCAAGTTGGCATTCAGGGCAGTTGCTTCTTTTGCCCTGCTGTAATTATGGCACTGCTTTGACAAACTACAAATGAAGCATCCCTCTTCCTGCTGAGATAGGAGCAGGGGTTAACATACCATCTGGAAGCTGATGCAGCTGAGCAGGCAGAGGGCTGAAAAAGTTATGGACAAGCGCATCTTGTGCAGAGACCCGCTCTCTAGGAAATGTTTTCAGCATTCTTGATGCCAGGTCTTCAGCTCCTGGCACCCTGTCCAGTCTAGAAAAGCAAGAAAAAACAAAATAGCACCAGAATGGGACCTAGGACTTAAAGCAGGAACCAGATCTAGGCTCAAGTTTTGTCAAGGCCAGGAGGTATTATATCTGGGAGATTTGGTTAAACTTGTGATGGGGATACAGGTCCTGTATGGCTCCCCATTGGGAACTTCAGTGAAGTTTGAAAGTGTGTGCCTCCAGGATGTTGGTTCAGACCATTCTCCAGTAAGACTTTTCGATCCCTCATACTTTCTTTTGAAGAAAAATTGTTACTTTTTGAAGAAGGAGCTTGGAATAAAAATAGATACTAGCAGTAGGCAAGGGTGTATGTTTACATGTATCATAGCTAAAATTTCATAAGTTATTTTTATGGTCATACTCTGAGCCATAGGTGCCAACTTTATTTTTTGCTGGTGGGTGCTTGCAGACATACCCCGCCCTCCCCCCCAACCCCCCCTCCAGTGCTTTACTTTTAACTTGGTGTGTTCCTGTGCCAAGCCCCGCACACGCACAGAAGAGGCAGCATGTTACTTCAACCTTGCTCTACAGCATCTGTAAAGATAGAGTGCTTTAGTAGGGCTTTTTTGGTACTTTTATCTAATAGCTTGATTGAATCAGCTTTAACTTTAGCCTTAGCTTTAGCTAAAATCACCAAAAGGCTCTGCTGAAGTGCCCGATCTATACAGATGCTGCAGAGCCAGGTTGAAGTAATGTGCTGCTTCTTCCGGTTAAGTGTGTTTTTTTTCTTTTTCTTTTAATGTCTGCAAGCATGGATCCATGGGCTGAGCACCCGCTAATTTTTTTCAGTGGGTGCTTGAGCCCTGGAGCACCCATGGAGTCAGTGCCTATGTTCTGAGCCATGACAATATGAAAATATCCCTGTGTAACTTGCCAATGGCCACTACAGATTTGTGTTCAGAATTGAGAGATCAATGGAAATGCCCTGTCTGTCTCCTGACCCCGGTTTAGCAGTGTAGTTAGGCTGTAATCATGTTGGGGATTCACCAGTATGAATCTTTCCCAAAATGAATGTTTTGTTTTCTTTTGTTTTTTTTCAAATGACCAGCAAATGCCAATGCCAAGTGGTGTCTCCTGGAGAAGAATGCAGCTGGGGACTAGGAAGTGAAAGAGAGAAAACAAACAAGCAAGCAATCAAATAAAAACAGTGCTTTAGTTTTACAGCTTTTACTTTGTTTTGATCATGTTTCAGCATCAAGTGGCCCATCAGAGAGCCTGTTGTGCTCCTACTGACCACCCCAGCTGCTGCTTCCCCTCCAAACAACAGCTCAGTGCTGGCATGCTCCTGTTCCTACCCTTTTCCAGTCTTCTGATGCTTATAGAATCAAAAACTGAAGGTTGGGAGGACCTCTGGAGGTCATCCAATCCAGTGGTTTTCAACCTTTTTTCATTTGCTGACCCCTAAAAAATTTCAAATGGAGGTGTGGACCCCTTTGGAAATTTCATATGGAGGTATGGATGAACCCCTTTGAATTTTAAGTGTGGGTATTCATATACTTTTGATTGACTGTAGTCGTCTTTTGTGGAGTCCTTAGACATAATCTGCAGGCCCTCGGGGGTTCACAGACCACAGACTGAAAACCACTGATCTAGTCCAACCCCATGATCAAAGTAGGACCACCCCCAACTATCTCATCCCAGCCAAGGCTTTGTCTAGCCAGGTCTTAAAAACCTCCAAGGATGGAGATTCCACAACCTTTCTGGGTAACCTGTTCTAGTACTTTACTACCCTCCTCACACAAAAGATTTTCCTGATATCTAACCTAAACTTCCCTTGCTGCAACTTAAGAACCTTGCTCCTTGTTCTGTCATCTGCCACCACTGAGAAGAGTTTAGCTCCATCTTCTCTGGAACCCCCCTTCAGGTGGTTGAAGGCTACTATTAAACCCCTGTCAGTCTTCTCTTTTCCAGACTAAATAAGCCCAGTTCCCTCAGCCTCTCTTCATCATAAGTCATGTGCCCCAACCCCCTAACCATTCTCATTTCCCCCCCACTAGACTCTCTCCATTTTGTCCCCATCCTTTCCGTAGTGGGGGGCCCAAAACTGGACACAGTACTCCAGATGTGGTCTTACCAGTGCTGAATAGAGTGGAATAATCACTTCCCTCAATCCACTAGCAATGCCCCTACTAATGCAGCCTAGTGTGCCATTAGCCTTCTTGGCTTACTGTCTACTGTAACTGCACAGAGCACCTGATGCTCTGGATGGTTTTGTTTTTGTAAAAATGTTTTTGTTTCTGTAAAAATTTGATTTTGTAAAAATTTAGGTCTTAGTGACTATGATAGAAAAATACTCAGTTCTCCCATCAGCCAAATTATACAAGCCCCCCACTGGCCTGGGGAGGAAGATACAGGGACTAGGAATCAAAAACTGGGTGCTACCTTATAGTGCCAACACTTAGAACAAGTCTGCACAGGGGCTTGCTTTCAGAGGTCATGATATTGGTGGAGCCTGGAAGATCCCCTTTACCCTGCTTAGCAACCTCTTCCTTAAGGCTCTTTGCCATGTCACTGGGCTTTCTAGTACCCCCATCTTCCAGGCTCCACAATGGCTACTAGCTCCACACAGAATTCCCATTTGATTCCATAACTTGCTAAGCAGGGCCATAGTTGAGCTGTCTGAAGCACTCCTTCACTTCTCAAGAGATGAATATTCTGCCTCTGCAGTTAACCAAGGAAGGCAGAAACCAAGTCAATCCTGGACCAGTACACAATACAGAACTCTGCTACCACAGCATGGGACCAGTCCATTGGTACTGGCTTTAAAGAGCTTTTCCAGCTTTAGTCCTTTAAACAACCAGCTGTGGCCAGTGAGCAGGAAGCTGTTCCATCCCAGGTGATTACTAGGAATACATTCATTTCCCTGCTGTGGATGAGAGTGGGAATTATTTTTAAATGGGAGTGTGTTATCTAAGATTGAGAAATTAGAGAGTAATATATATATATATTTCTGGAAGTTCCTGACAACATTTATTAAAACTATTTGTGTCTCCAAACCTAGCATGGTGCTAAAGACATTAGTATCTCATTTAAGAAATTCAGTGCAGTTGCTGAGAAAGCCAGCTCTAAAGGACAGCGTGTTATCACTCAGAGTGAGGCCGAATGCAATAGTGAGGTACTGGACTCATCCTAAACCTGCATTAGCTTAAGGTCTTTGAGGCCAAAATAGTCTTTTCATCTTGACACAGTGGGGCTTTGATCCTAGGTTGTAGTTTTCTCTGGCATTGTTCTGTACTGTACTGACTGTAGTGATCACTGGGTTCAATAAACACAGGCATAAGTGAATGGGAAGAATTAAGCAACCGGTTTTATTCTGGAGCAGTAAGCAACTCCTGCAGACTGTATGTCTGTCTGACTAACTGGCTAGCTGCCCCCCGAGGAATCATATCCCAATTCCCAACCCCCTCAGTCTCAGGGAGCACTTCTTAAATTTAGAGACCAGGCCCCAGCGGGCTAAAATAGGGCACTTAGTCAAAATCAGTTTTCCAGATTATATCTGTCATTGATATGTATGTGGTTGGGGATGCAGAGGCTACTTTAAATTTGATTCTGCAGCACTGTTGTGGATGATTGAGAAAAGTTGTACATGCACTGTCTGAAGTGTCATCTTTAGGATGAGCTCTTAAATCAAGTCCATCCCCAGTTGGTACTGATCATAGAAGAATATGAATTTTCCAGTCCTTGCTAATCCTGCAATCTTTTTTGGCCTCATATAGACAAGTATCTCTGTATAGTTTAGCTATTTTTTTCTAGCAATATTTCTACCTTTATTTCTATGCACAAAGCTGGGAAAGTGCAAAGTTGGTAGTACAATCTGCACTGGGTCTGTGCAAGAGGGCCTGGAAAGCATGATTCATAAATCAAATTGTACCTTTCAAACAGTCATGCATAATGTTGAATTGTTGCTTGTCTGAGAACAGTAAACCCACTGAAGTCTTTCAGAATCCGCTGCTTAACTTATTGTTGCTTATTACTACAGAAGTGTCTCTTACTCATTCTAGATTTGCCAGAAGAGCTCATTTAAAGTTAAATGGTTGAGTATAAAAACAAACCCACAGGCCGCTTTGACGCTACTGTTATAGGTAGTTTACCTGTCACAGATCATTCGGAGCCTCTGAGGTCTGCTGGAGACAACCCTCTCTAGAAAGTGAATATGCAGTCACAAGATTAAACAGAAATCAATCCAACAACCATTCTTTGAGCCCTTACAAAAATATGTGCTTAGAATTTCAAAGGACCCTATAGAATCTGTCATCTTGGTATTTATAAATATACATTATACCTATAGGACTTGAATATCAGCATTGATGTTAATAAGGCTATTACAGTTCTATAACCCTCTCATTTTACCTACCTACAAGTATAGGCCTTGGGCCTGATTCTATTTCTACTTAAGTCAGTGGGTGTTTTTCTTTGACTTCAGTGGAAGCAAGATCAATTCCCAATATCTAAGATTTAGAAATTGGAGTTAGTTTTTCCTGAGTAAGAGCTAAGACCTTAATCCAGTGAATGGATCTTGGTAAGTGGCCCCTTATGCCTACAGAGATGATGTTGAGGTCCTTCTGGTCCCACATAAATATTAGGGGGTTCATCTGCATGGAGCTGACTGCAAGACTGGGGCCTGAGTAAGGGCTTTAGGATCTGGCCCTCTATGTATGCGATGTTTTCTCTCTACAGCTAAGGTTTGTTTTTTGCGATTCCTACTCTCGTGTTTGCTTCATGGCCACTCATTTAAACATTTCTATCAAACTGAAATCTTGCAAACTTTGCAGTTTAGAGCACATTTGGTTGCTTTTTGGTATTTTTAAGTGGACCAATTTCAAGACAAGTGGAAACAAGGGTACTTTTGGATGATATCTTTTACTGGACCAACTGCATGGTTGGTATAAGTCAAACAAGATTTTGAATGTTAGGCATTCTCCCTCAAGTGACCTCAACTGGATCATCACAGCTAAAACATTACTCTAACACTACCAAAACAATTGGAAACTTTCTCTTTTATACATTGAAAAGGTAATGATAGGTTTTTCAGATGTTCTTTTGCTTGTTTCTAGATGAAAAAAAAAAATCTAATGTCACAGGTCTGGAATAATGACAGCTATTTAAATGAAGACATTTTTATTAGCAAACGGTGTAGAGGCTACCTGTCACAGGAACTGCTATGTATTTATTGCAGAGCATTGGTACAGTTCAGGGCTTTCCTTCCACTTCACTGTACAGTGAAGTTTAGCTTTCTACAAAATTATATGCAGGATTTATTGTATTCCAGTTTTAAATACAAAGAAAAAGAAATATTACACCTACACAACCATTAAGTCCCAAAGTCTTAATGATAATTTTAATGTGAGATTTCCTGTAGCTGGAGGGTGCTCAGCAGGCAGTAATGGCTCCAAAGGAGCCATTATTTTCTATAGTGCAGTTTTCTGTGGTTTGTAATTTCAGTGAGCCAGATTCACCACTGATGAAAATTGATGTAGGATTGCTTTGATCAGCAGTGTGACCGTGATTTATACCACATGAGGATCTAGTCCGTTGAGTTTGATAGGACTATGGCAGCTTACATCAGATAATTTGTTGGTTCAGTGTAGCCATATTTAGAGCCATCAGGCTGTGCGTGGGCCTTTGATGAGCATAATGAGGTGGAAAAATGCAAGCAGCCTCCTCCACTGCCTCTTATGTCCTTCAGCAAGTTTGCAGAGATTCAGGGATTGCTGAGGCACAACACAACTGCATTTGGTAGGAGGCCCCCTGTCAGCCAGTGCTGCTTGCAGAATGCTGTGCAGATCCCCCACCTTTACCCTGTGCATCATGTGAAACGCAAAACATCACTTATTTGGGGTTTAAGTGGTATCTGGGGCTCAGCAGGCTCCAGGGTGCATAACATCCATAGCGTGCAGGGATAGCAGGCTTAAGGGTGGTTAGGACAGCCTGAATCAAGTGTCTGTTGAGAAGGGACTTGTGCCAAATTTCAGATAAGTCAAGCCTCCTTTGGCTTATCACTGAGGGGGGAAACAGTACAAACATACCTGGAGCACAGCTGCCCACACAAACTGCAGGGCTGGTTCTGTGTATGAAAGCTAAAGGTAAGGCAGAACTATACCAGAACTTTAATTTTAGGCCCATTCCTGGAGTCTCCTTTCAAGCCAAATTCCCACTGAAGTATTTGAGGACTGGTTCCACCAGAAAACTCTTTTAAGTGTAGCACAATTTCTCACTGTCAGCACTATAGTCTTACTAATATTAAACACGTTGATTCAGAATCTGGGATTACCAGCTGGATAGTTACCATACCTTTCCTACAATGCTGCTAGATTCCTCTGCAGTACTTAATGTAACCGTAGCAGCAGTCCCATAACCACCAGACTGCTGCTGTTGAACTAAGATAATAAGTGAAAGAATTATTACTACACCAACTTAGCTGCCATAAAATGTAACTGCACATTGATTTATAAGAAAAATACAATCAGAATTGAGCTTCCTTCAAACTAGTGGTCACTCTTACAGGGAAATGTAATATTTAGTAGGTTGTCAGAAAGGTCAAAGAGAAGAATAAATAGCAGCTTAAGAAAGGTGTGCTTTTTAAATATGAATAGCATATACCACAGTTTTATTCTAAGAACATCCTGAGGATTCTCACCTAATAAATAACTTATGAATTGACAGACCAGTAGTTCTCTCATACCCTCCTCACTGTCTTGGGAATGCTCCAGTCTGCTTACTGGCTTTTCAAATGCTGGTGTTTGAAGAAATCACAGGGACATAGAATATGCACAGAGGAGATCTACATAGCTCCAACTCAAATACTTCACCTCTTTTCCAGAAAACACAAAAGAAAGAAGGAAACTCAAAGATGCACAATTCAGGGAGTGATTAATCACTATAGGAGAGCCACCTCTCCATGCTCCGCAGGCAAGGTATCATCCTTTCTACTGCAGCACTGTCCCACCCACCCTTTGCTTTCAGGTCTCTGACCAGATTTTTACAGGAACCTTTCAGGAGAAAGCAATACAGGCAGAGGGAATGGCTGTTCATTGCTCCACCACTACATGTAACAGGATTTACAGAAAAGTTCATGCCTCTTGAAGGCTCAGGACAAGTGTAGTGACTTCTTAACCTGGCAGAGAAATACCATGTATCTGTGTCCAAGAAGGCAGTTTTCCTGAACCGCAGCCCGGGAGAACTGCTCTTCTGGAGTGGTTCAGTACCCGCTGAGGTGCAGCAGCTTAAAGCCCACTTTATGGAAATGGGAGTCTCCTCCCTTGCTTGATCTGAGGGCAAGCAAAACTCGGGGGCATCTGAACCCCAAGCCTCTGGGCTTGGGCCTGCAAGTAGGATGCCCGCCAAAGGTTTTGGAAACATCTGAAGCCCCAGTGCGGGTGGAGGATGTTTGCTGGTAGTAGGGCTACTTATGGTTCTGGACACTTGGATTTGGAATAAGTTTTGGTTAATTTGGCCGCGGATACAAATTAAATTAAAAAAAAAAGTTCATGCAGTCTGACACTACATTGTATTTTTTTTGGCTGCCCCTCACTGTCTTAGAAACCTGCTTCTGGTTGGTGCGGTGATAGGCACACCCTGACAGAACCAGGCTTCTGTAACATCCTCTTTGAAGTTAGGGGAGGTGGCAGGGGTAATGTTGGGTTCGGAAAATGCTGGCCATGTGATTGCAGTAGAGTCATGCTATCAGGAAGCTGGAAGGAAACTGCATGCAATCTTTATGACCTGATACTGTGACTGGACTTGGGGTGGTTCAGGTTCCAGTACAAATCAGAGCAGTGTCAAGGAAGCTCTAATTTGTGCTCATCTGCCACTGGATACAAAACAGTCCCAGAACTAGGACGTGGCTCAAATTACAAAGTACTACAGAATCAGGTCTCTCCCTGTTCAAGTATCTATCTATTTTTTTTGCAACTATCTAGTTGGTCTAATAAAAGATATCATCTCTACCACACTGACTACTGGAGGGGCTGGACGTTTTTAAGTCAGCCGGCCCGGATGATCTTCACCCTAGAGTCCTAAAGGAACTGGCTGGGGTCATTGCAAGTCCCCTGGCACGGCTTTATGAACATTCGTGGTGCTCTGGAGAGGTGCCGGAGGACTGGAAGAGGGCCCAC